CACGTGCCCCCCAGATCTGTTCATGGGATGGTGAGGGGTGAGGGCTGCTTGCTGTGGACCCTGGGCTCCCTGTCCTGCTGCCCTCTTCCTGGGGCCTCCATGGCTCAGTGGGCAGGACCTGGTATGGCAGGTCAGATTGGGGCCAGGTGGGGAAGCTCCTTGCCTCTGCAAGCCATGTATCACCCTGGTGAGATGCTCCCTGCCCACCCAGCAGCAATGGGGGTGGGGGTGTGGGGTTGTGCCCCTCTCTTTGCCAGGCGGGCAGGGGACAACTCACCAGGGTGCCATGGGGCTCACAATGGCAAGGAGCTTCTCCATCCGGCCCTGCTCTGCCCTGCAGTGCTGGGTCCTACCTGCTAGACAATCCGGAGGCCCTGGGGGCAGGACAGGGAGCCTGAGCTCACAGTGGGCAGCCCACACCCTTCCCCTGCTATGGGCTCCTTTCTGGCTGTGCTGCCTGCAGGGGAAAGGGGAGCCAGGCTCCATGCTTTGCTCTCCACTTGGGCTGCAGTGGCCGCTGCCTCTTGCGGGTAGAAGCCGGGACTTAAACGATGCTGCAGGGGGTAAGGGGCAGTGGACCCAGGTCTCTGGTCCCACAGCCCTGGCCGGTGGGGGACCATTCTGGTAGGGCTGTGGGGGGCAGGGGGCTGTGGGCAGGGAGTGAGGGGTACCAGCAGGACAGGGGGGGATGTGGGTGGGGTCTGAGGGGCACCAGCAGGGCCAGGGAGCTGTGGTTGAGGAATCAGGAGCACCTACAGAGCTGGGAGACTGTGACTTGGGAGTGAGTGTCCTAGTGAGCGAAGGAGGCAAGGGGAGATCTGATTTTCCATGATAAAAATCCCAAATCAAATACCAAATTGGATAGGTATTTAGAATTTATTTTATTATAGTGATTAAGGCACTGGTAGGCTTCTAAATTGCTTTAATATTGTAAATATATCAATAAAACATTGTATTAAATTGATACCTCATATATATATATTAGTGGTGTTCCATTTTAATTGTGGATTTTGGTGTTTTTATCAGAGAATTTGAAATTTTTTTCCAATCAGAATTGATGATTTTTAAACAGAATCCCTAATGATTAGGTTCTCCAGTGCCTATTCAGAAGGGCCCAAAATGTCCCAGCAGGGGTGAACTGCCACCCATACCATGTTAGATTCACAACTACCACCAAAAGAAACATAGTACAGTCTGTTGGGGCTCCTGGGAGGATCTTGACCTACTGTGAATTGAAGATATTTCCTGCAGAACAGTCAAATGAAAGTAGGCATCCTGGAAACAGAGATGCAAACAAGTTCCTCCTCTGTAGTGGCAGTGGGTTGGTAGCTAGTGTTACTATCTTGAACTTGAACCAGAGAATGAAGTTGTTAAATTTTCTTAGGTCTAAGATAGGGCATTGTCCCCACATCCTTCTTGGAACTGGGAAGTAAGCGCAGTGCAGGCTGTTTTCTTTAGGGGATGGAGAATTTGCTGTGGATATCAAATTGAACTGGATGGTGTATCCAGCAGTTATGGTATCTAATATTCCCTAAAAAGTAGGCCAAGCAGTTACTGAAGGAAAAGGGGGTTGGGAGGAGAAGAGATTAGAGGGAACACCAAATATTGCACCAAAGACTGCAACACCAAAAATTTTACCTGACTGGATGCTAAGAGGCAGATGGTCCAGCAGAAAAATGCTTGTTCTGGTGGAACTGTTGGCATTCCCTGGGAGAGTCTCAAGGCCAGTGTACAAAAGAGAAGGAATGGAGGAAGAATGTTGCAAGTGTTTCTGACCAGTATAGGTGGGCATGTGTGATTCATCCCAAGGGCTGACAAATATAGAAGAAAGGTAGCCCTAGAGCCCTTTAGGGTATGAAGCACTTCGTCAGACTTAATACTGAAGAACTCCACTTCCCATTGATCCTTGCAGCTGTGAGGGGTGCCCCATGGCCACTGCTGTAGTCATGGCATGCAAGGCAGGACCCTGCCGTTCTAAACCCCTAAAGTTATCAGTCTGTTGGGAGACCACAGGAATAATGGCCTTGTCCAGAAAGGGAGAAGAGGAGGGGCTGTTTCTCTGAGGATCACCCCATCTGAAATCTGAATCTGGAGACTTTTCTCAATCCAGTGAAGGCACAGGTGGTGACTTAGAGGGATCTGGGAGGGTGACTGGAGGAGTGAGATGCTAGGCAGTAGGACCTGTCCCCAGTACAAGTGATCGACCATGAATCCTAGGCACAAATAGCCACATTGGGAAGTCCAGATAGGAACCTTGCAGTCACTGAGCCAGGTACCAATGAGACCTAAGGGAGCAGGTTTGGGGGTCAGGACTATCTTAGTGAGGGCCCTTGAAGAGAAAACAGACCTGTGCTTCATACTGGAACCAAATGAAGATTTTGTAAAGTCACCCTTTGTAGGCAGCTGCATGAGGGTCTCGGTCTGGAACTGGGGGGGCGGGAAATTGTGGGCAGAGCTGGTGGAAGCACTGGTGGACTTGCATGTGGTACCAGTAAAGAAGCAAAAGGTACTAGTTCCACAGATGATTTTCCAGATCACCTGGAGCCACTGAGGTTGGGTACTGAGGTTGGGTAAAGACTGGGTTGAAAGAGCTGCCACTCACCCAACCTGGGAAAACCAGGACTGAGGATCTCAATGCCAGAGTGGAAAATGGTGCCAGAACCAGGGCAGCACTCCTTGTCAAAGGACAAGGTGATGCTGAGGAGTGCCTAGG